ATATGTTCAGGTGTATAGACTATATGTTCAGGTGTATAGACTGTATGTTAAGGTGTATAGACTATATGTTCAGGACTTCTACTTTCTACTTCTTACTTCTGCTTCTTATCTCCACTTCAACTTCCTACTTCTACTTCTTACTTCCTATTTCTACTTCCACTTCCTACTTCCATGTCCTACTTATACTTCCTACTACCTACTTCCTAATTCCTACTTACTTCCTACATCCTACTTCCTACTTCTACTTCTTTTTTCCAATTTCTACTTCCACTTCCTACTTCAATGTCCTTCTTCTACTTCCTCCGTCCTACTTCGTACTTCCTCCCTCCCTCCCCCTCCGATCATCCGATCTTAGGAACCCGACGCTATTTCTTTCTTACTTCCGTCCCTTCCATTCTTACTACTTCCTACAGGGGGACTCATAAAACTGTGGAAAAGAACTGTTAGACTCAAGTTATCATCTAAAATGGTCTCCATGCATCAAGTAAAGCAATTGTACAGTTTAAACAGTTTCCTACTTCCTACATCCTACTTCCTAAAAATATTCATGCTGTATTCTTCTATCAATCCATCCTACTTTTTTTACTTCGTAAATATATCCCTGTTGTATTCTCCTATCTAGCCTTCCTACTTCCTTCTTCCTAAATATATCCATACTGTATTCCCATATCCATCCTACCTACTTCCTTCTTCCTAAATCCCTATCCATCCTTCCTACTTCCTTCTTCCTAAATATATCCATGCTGTATTCCCATATCCATCCTTCCTACTTCCTTCTCCTAAATATATCCCTGCTATATTTCCATATCCATCCTACCTACTTCCTTCTTCCTAAATATATCCCTGATATATTTCCCAATCCATCCTTCCTACTTCCTACTTCATTCTTTCTAAATGTATCCGTGCTATATTTCCCTATTTATCCTTCCTACTTCCTAATTCCTAAAAATATCCATGCTATACTCTTCTATCAATTCATCCTACTTGTTATAATTCCTAAATATATTCCTGCTGTATTCCCCTATCCATCCTTCCTACTTCCTACTTTCTAAATATGTCCCTGCTGTATTCCCCTATCCATCCTTCTTACTTCCTTCTTCCTAAATATATCCCTGCTATATTCCCATATCCATCCTTCTTACTTCCTTCTTCCTAAATATATCCCTGCTATATTCCCATATCCATCCTTCTTACTTCCTTCTTCCTAAATATATCCCTGCTATATTCCCATATCCTTTATCCAATTGCCCTTCTGCTTTCTAATTTCTAAATCTTTCCCTGCTGTGATTTCTTATTCAACTACCCGGCTTCCTACTTCCTATATTTCCATATCCACACATCCTACTTCCTATTTTCTAAAAATGTCCGCCTATCCTATGGGGGCTCGGCAACTATATTGGATGGATTCCAATATCTCGTAGTTCAACACTCTATTGTATAACTACGTCAAATAGCTTTGAGAACAGATTTAGTAAAATCATGAAATTTTTTTCAGATGTTACTGCTTCAAAGTCAATATCTTCCGCAAAATGCGTAGTAAAGAGAGTAAGAGAAAATGGAGTTTTTCTAAAATTGTATTTTGAAATCAAAAGTAAAAAAAAAACATCTAAAGCTTTAAAAAAGGAAAGGAAAACGTGACGATTGAGCGTCACACAACAAAGTATATATGGAAAATCCCCCTGGAGGTTTGATATCCTGCTCCGACTTGAACAACGTGTTGGTATCAAAGACTCCGCGTTCTAATAGATAGTTGATGACATGCCTGAAATATATTTATTATTTTTATAATTTTATTGTATATTTAGGGAGAGATTGATAAAGCGAGGACTGAGAACACAGTTTTGTTGAACAGAAAATTCAGATTTATTTCAAACTAACCACTTTATGCTTCATTACTAGCATGACCAAGTGACCTCGTAGAGCTCTTTTACTTTTGATTGAAGTATAAGAAAAGCTATTTTTTATTCCATATCAAAACTTCAGGTTTGTTGTTTTCCTAAAAACTTTCAAGGTGTCAGATTTGAATCTAACATTAATGACTTTAATTTGTCCTGATAATTAACTTCAATCAGAGAACACAGACAATAATTAATATTTGTCAACAAACATATTAGGTTGTTTTAATAAAGCCATTTTCAATAATAATTGTACATTTTTTCTTACATTTCGTCAAAATATTCCTTTCACAAGTAGTCTGAAATGATTATTAAGAAGTCTGAAATGATGCAAGTCTTTCCATGCGTTCAGTCGGATTTTATTAACTCTCCACAAGTTCAGTGAGGGTACAGTGTTTACATTTAAACCATGTCGAATTGTATTTAAACAAATGAACTTTAATTAATTTTATTTTTATCTTTAAAATCATGAGAAAGTATTAAACCGTGAGTATGCCACCTCAAGAGAAACTGTCAATCATCCTGTCTCAGGATTAGAGATGGGCGTGTTTGGTTTTTTAAATCGTAAAAAAAGAATTTATTTATTTCGTTCTAGAAATTATCGTTCATTTTCCATCTATTTCGTTCGTTTTCTCACTGAACAATTGTTCAATAAAATCGATTCTTAAGTACAATCGTTTGTTCGGTAAAATATAGTTCGCTTAATAAAATCGTTCCTTAAGTAAAATCGTTTGTTCGGTAAAATATAGTTCGCTTAATAAAATCGTTCCTTAAGTAAAATCGTTTGTTTGGTAAATAAAGTTCGTTCAATCAAATCTTTCGTTCGGTAATTTATTTCGCTGAACGATCCAAGTCGTTCGTTTATATCGTTTGTCCATATAGTTCTTGCATCGTTCGTTTTTTCTGATCGACAGCATTTCCTTCGTTCACAAAAACTATCCCCATCTCTAGTCAGGAGTGGGAACATATAAGAAACTATATTGGTGTTTATATAGTTACACGTAATATAATGGGAACATATAAGAAACTATATTGGTGTTTATATAGTTACACGTAATATCATGGGAAAATATAAGAAACAATATTGGTGTTTATATAGTTACACGTAATATCATGGGAAAATATAAGAAACTATATTGGTGTTTATATAGTTACACGTAATATCATGGGAAAATATAAGAAACAATATTGGTGTTTATATAGTTACACGTAATATCATGTTTATATAGTTACACGTAACTTTAGTGTATTTATGTAGATACACGTAATATCATGGGAAAATATAAGAAACTTTATTGGTATTTATATAGTTACACGTAATATCATGGGAACATATAAGAAACTATATTGACGTGTTAATATAGTCACACGTAATATCATGGGAACATATAAGAAACTATATTGGTGTTAATATAGTTACACGTAATATCATGGGAACATATAAGAAACTATATTGGTATTTATGTAGTTACACGTAATATCATGGGAACATATAAGAAACTATATTGGTATTTATATAGTTACACGTAACTTTAATGTATTTATGTAGATACACGTAATAGAAGTTGAT